GTGCTGGGATTATAGGCGTGAGCCACCGCGCCTGGACTCTGCAGCCTTTTAATGGCGGTAGTTCAGGTCCGATAAGTGCTGCCCCAACTGCAGTGTTAAGTTGTTTGAGTTCAGATCAGGCTTCATTTACCCCTGACTTCATTTATCATCTTTATGACTTGATTACCTTATGTGTAAAATGAATATAATAATATTGTCTACCTCAGAGGGTTGTTATAGGAATTAAACGAGATAATCTTTGTGCTTAGAACTGACTGTTAATTTAGGGACTAGGAATGTTAAGCATACAGCTTTTAAAAGATGTACATGTGAAAGTAAGTCTCCATTAATTGTTATTATTAGAGAGGAAAGCTCATCCTTCTTCCTTTTTGCTGATCTCAGGCAAGGTAAGAGAAGGGACTACATTAATAGGGATTCAGGAGGAAATTCGCATACAGTAGGTACTTAATAAATGTTTATTTGGTCATCTGGACTTAAAAACTTGTTATTTATGAAGAGACATGTAAAGCTTATTTATTTTTCACTCGTGGCTCCTGATTTTGGTTAAAAGGTCACCAGTTACCCACTAGAAGCAAATGAGCCTGTTCTGGTTTCTAGGAATGCAATTCTGGTTAGCCTGACAAACTATCTGAGCACTAGAAGGTCTCCCAATAACCACCTTTGCTAGAAGGTAAAAAATGGAGACTCAGCACTGTGACGCTATCTTGAATTTTAGGAGGGGGAAAATGAATCAACGCTGAGGTGCTGCAAACATTTGTGTTCTTGATCTAGATGCTGGTTACATGGGATGTTCATTTGTAAAAATTCATCAAACTCTATACTTACTTACAAAATATAGTATAATTTACGTATACTACATGCATTCCGTTTATCCCAGCATTAGGCACAATGGCAAAGTTATAGCATCAACCTAAGTGTCCAACAACAGATGAATGGATAAATAAAATGTGGTGTATATACACAATTGAATACTATTCAGCCATTGAAAACTGTGAGTTTGTGTCATTTCCAACAACATGGATGGCACTGGAGCATTGAATTAGGTGAAATAAGCCAGGCACAGAGAGAAAAATATTGCATGCATTCACTCATACGTAGGAGCTCAATAGATTGATCTCAGGGAGGTAGAGAGATACCAGAGGCTGGGAAGGGTGTGTGTTTGCGTGTGTGTGTGTGTGTGTGTGTGTGTGTGTGTGTGTGTGTGTGTGTGTTGGGGAGAGTGGAATAAAGAGAGATTGGTTAATGGGTACAAACATATAGTTAAATAGGAATAAATTCTAATGTTCAATAGCAGAGTAGGGTGTCTATAGTTAACAACCATATGTTGTACCTTTCAAAACAGCTGGAAGTGAGGACTTGAAACATTCTCAACACGTAGAAATGATAAATGCTGGAGGTAACCGATATCCTAAATTCCCAGAACTGATCATTACAGTGTATGCATGTAACAAAGTATCACATGCATCCTATAAATATGTATGAATAGTGTGTATCAATAAAAAAAAGTAATGAACTAATCTAAAGTGTATGGTTCAATGCTTTTGTGCCTATATTTGCAACCATGTAAACATCACCTAGATAAGAGCTATCTAGGTGATAGTTTTCCATCGCAGGTGAAAGTTCCCTTGTGTTTTCTTTCCCCAGATGTAAGCACGTTCTGACTTCTATCACAATTATTTACCTGTTCTTGAACTTCATATAAATGGAATCATACAGTACATATACACTCTTTTGTGTCTGGCAATTTTCTGTCAGCATAATATTTCTGAGATGCATCCATTTTGTTATGTGTAGCCATAGTTCATTCCTTTGTATTATTGACTAGTGTTCCATTATATGAATATATACCACGATTTATCCATTCTATTTTGATGGACATTTTGGTTGTACCTTTAGGCTATGATGAATAAAGCTGCAATGAACATTTATGTTAGAGTCTTTTTGCATTCATATGTTTTCAAATACTAGGAATGGAATGCCGGGTATGTTTGTCTTTATTAGAAATTATCAAATAGTTTTGCAGATTGGTCACAACATATTCCAACAAGAGTATTATGAGTTCCAGTAATTCCACGTCATCACCAACACTTGGTATTTTCAGTCTTTTTGAAAATTATATATTTTTATACATTTCTTTATGTGTACATATCACTTTAATAAAAGGTTAAAAATAAGTCAACCATTTAAAAGGTGATGGTTGTATCTAATGGTGAAACTCTGAACATTTAAATAAATTATAAATTATCTGGATGTTTGGTTGACATCTGCCAGGAATCCAATAACTAAATGTTGTCCTATTTAATCGATGTGTTTGTATTACATATTACGTAGAAATATTAAGTGGTTAACCTTGGGTTTGGTTAGGGAAAACTGTTTCTGAAAAATAGTCCCAAAGCTTCCTTGAGAAATCTTTTTTACCTCCATTTCCTTTTTGTTTTATAGAACTTATGATACAGAATATTTTGACCAGAGCTCACTGCTTTTCTTCTTTTCCATTTCAGAGCATAAATGCCCAGTGGATGAGCGGGAGCAACTGGAAGAAACCTTGCCCCTGATTTTGGGTCTCATCTTGGGCCTCGTCATTGTGGTAACACTTGCAATTTACCACGTCCACCACAAAATGACTGCCAACCAGGTGCAGATCCCTCGGGACAGATCCCAGTATAAGCACATGGGCTAGGGGCCATCAGGCAGGCACCCTGCATTCCTGCTCCCCCAACTGGATCAGGTAGAATAACAAAAGCACTTTTCCACCTCGTGCATGGAATACACCAACATAGCTGCAATCAAACAGGCCTGGGTATCCGAGGCTTGCTTGGCTTGTGTCCATGCTTAAACCCAGGGATGGGGGAGACTCTTTTGGATTTGTAGGGTGAAATGGCAGTTATTCTCTCCATGCTGGGAAGGAAGGAGGGAGGAGCTCAGACAGCTTTCATGCTCATGGTGGCCATGTTGCTCTCCAAAGAGCAACAGGTGCCACTTGAAGCTGTATCTGGCCCCAAAATTTAGGGATTGAAAATACACTCTTTTGAGGAGGAAACCCTTTTAAATTCAGAAGAACAGGGGGTGCTTTGCTCCCTTGGACACAGCTGGCTTATTCTATACAGTTGTCAATGCACACAAAATACAACCTCATGCTTCCTGCAGCAAGACCCCTGAAAGTGATCCATGCTTCTGGCTGGCATTCTGCATGTTTAGTGATTGTCTTGGGAATGTTTCACTGCTACCCGCATCCAGTGACTTTGCAGCACAAGAACACGACTAATGTAACTATGCAGAGTTGTTTGGACGTCTCAATGTGCCAGGTCCAAGTCGGGGGACCTGAAGAATCAATCCGTGTGAGTTTGTTTTTTGAAATGAATTAAAACACACTATTCTCTGGCCTTTGGCTGCTTTCTTGAAACAAGAAAACAAAGCTAAAATGGTTTCTTTGGCATTTAGAGGAGAAAGAGGAAAAGATGAATATGGCTTTTGCATGTTTGCAAGAGGAAAATTAAAGAGAGGGCAGGGAATCAATGAGGTGGAAGTTGGTTTTTCTAGGTGAAAAAACAGGGATTTATTCTGGTGGTTCTTGGTCTTGAGTTTGGCATTTCACTTTGGATTAAAAAGGTGGACTGGACACAGTAGTCTAAATTGAGCTCTATTTGAAGGAAAATTCCTAGAGAAATGCACATAGTTTGAATTTCATTCACTTTCTAAATAATCACTTTTTCCCAGGATATTTGAGTGGGAGTAGGCAATATCTTTTCTCTGGTTTTAGAGTGGGACTTTCTCCCTCCACAGATACAATATCCACCATATAAGAAGCAGCTCATGAATTCCTCTCCCTAAGTCTTCAAACTGCTCACAGTAGGGCATCTTCAGAAGTTCATTATCCCAGCAATCTCACTAAGTATCATCCAGTTGCTGTTCTATTACCCATTTGTTTGCTGTTCTATTAACCACAATCTTTTAATCTTCATGATCTCTCTTCAGTGTCTGCCTGTTACCAGTGAGGGAAAATCTCCAATTCCTCATAAAAATTGCATGTTGCACACATACACACACACACGCACACACACAAAGATACCGTTGGTGCCAATGAAAACTCCAAAAGATGTTTAACTCCATGTTTATACTCATCTGTGATCTTCTCACCACTGCTCCTCAAACTTGACAAACCCTTTCCTTTTTAGCATCCCATGTAATTTTTTTAAAACTTTTTAATTTCTTATTTGGAACCATCTGAATATTTAGGGGAGAAATGGACTGTCAGATTTACCTAGGGCTTCACAAAAAATTACTATTCCCTTCTACAACCCTTTTGAAAAAGAAACCTTAAAACATTCTAAGTCATATATCTGAAAATTCTCTCGTGTGTGTGGTTTTTAAACTTGCTTTCAAAAAACATAAGGCTTATTATTAGTTTTGGAATTGTCATGTAATTACATAATTGTTATGTAAATATACATAAGACCTACTATTGTTTCAAGCACCTATTGAGTACAGGCTCAGTAGTGCCTATAAAGTAATAAACTTGACCTTAGTTTCTACAGGGAAGGACTGACAGAAGAACAAGCAACACACAACATGTCATTCTCAAAATGTCACAGTGCCCTGGCTTTTTATAAAGTGTTGACTCATGACCACATCCCTGTGTCTAAGCTACTTCAATCTTTCTGGAATACAAATATCAGTGATTTTTCTACCTGTTATGTGCAGGATGCATAAAAAGCCATTATTTAAATTACTGTTATGATTATCATTATTGTTTACCATGCCATTTTTACCTAGATATTTTAAAATTACGTCTCAAACTCAGCCTAGTTGCCTTTGAACCTCGCCTTATTTCTGTCAGCCCTTTCATCTTTATTATCAACTAAACATGATAAAGAGGAGCCTCATGACGCAGAGCAGGAGCAGTGGTCTCAGGACGCATCGGTGCCTGGCATTCTCCCAGCTCAGAGACTGACTCCACTCTGGGCCTCAGCTCTGGACCCTCTCCATGCCCATTGTCGTTGCCATTGTCCTACATTTTGCAGCTGCTCCTGGGCCAGGAATAGGATGAGGCTATGGCTCATTTATCTGCATTGCTTCTCAAGCTTCAGAGACAGGGAAGAAAACAAACAGATAAACCGCCACAGACGCTCAATCTGAGAAACACGAATGGAGAAAGAGGAGGAAAGATGGTAGGAGTGGCCTGCAGAGTCTGGGTGAAGCAGCCAGCTGCTTGTGTAGGGATGAGTTTTACCAGGCAGGTGGTTCAAACTGGCATTGAGCTCAAGCACTTCCCCGGAACAAACACCAAGCCACCTGAGCCAGATATAGCTTAAATCATTGTGTCTCAAAGTGCATTCAAAGGCATCCTGTATTAGAGTCATCCTAGGAGGCCTTTGAAAGATGTTTGTTCTAGTGCATCATCCCAGACATTGAGAATCTCTGTGGTGATACCCTAGAACCTGCAGTTTTACTTTGCTCCCCAGGAGATGTTGATGAATAAATATGAAGACTTCTGGTTAAAAAGCCTTTACTATCAGAGTATGTGCAACATTATCTAAATTATTGAACTTCTCTGGGTTCATGTTTTTTCATCTGAAAATGAAGCTACTCCTCCATCCTTGTAAATTTATTTGAAGATTCATGAAGCACCTGGAAGTCCCCAGCACAATGCCTGTCACACTGGAGAGGCTCTATAAAAATTATCATTAGTGGCATTTTTCTAGCACAGTTCTTAACATGTATGTTCCAATTTTACCTGCCTAACAAAAGGTCATGAAATATTTGAATGAACTAATACAAAAGCTTTAAATCTGACTTCCACAGTTTTCTATGTCAGTTTATTTTGGATTCAGATAATTTGTATGCAGGGATTCCTCTCCACTCCAGCTCAGTAAACCACTCAGGGGTTATCAGTTTTGGGATGAGGGGATCTGTCAGAGTTTATGGACTTGGATGGGAACAAATTACACCTCCAGTTTTTGCTAACCTCAAATGAAAGGTAGAATCTCCTTCAGTGGTGAACATGGGCATTAAACCCCTGCAGTAGAAGCAGACCAGTGAATTTGCCATCAGTAGAAATAGCCACCTTACATTTGCCAGCTATATCACAAAAGAATCATTTATACTCATTACTTAGAAATTGTGGTAGTTATTTGACCCATCAAAAGATCTTGTTACTTTATGCATTATAGCCACATCTTAAAATTTTGATAATTATATGTTAATCAGTTTTTTTTGTAAGCCTATGTATTTTACTTTATGCATTTAAAAAACTTTTCTGAGAAGGAGTTTATAAGCTCAGACATCCAAGCAGGTCCAGGGTCAATGGTACTTCAGCTGTCATTTAAAGCGACAGAACCTGTCAGGTTGTCTGCTGGGAAAGGGTTTACAAAGGCACACATGACAGATGAGATCATAAGTGTTTCTTAGCACTGATCTTGTGCTTTCTAGACCCCGCTCTGGGTACCGGAACACAGCAGTGAACAAAACACATAAGGACTCCTGTCCTCATGGAACTGAAATAATGTCGTGTGTGTGCGTGCTTTGTGTGTGTGTGTGTGTGTGTGTGTGTGTGTATGCCCACACGTGCATGTGTGTATAACTGTCTATTTAGGTAGACTTTGAGCAACCCAAATCTAAAAATCTAAAATCCAAAATGCTTCCAAATTTAAAACTTTTTCAATGGTTCTTCGCAGGATTCCCTCAGTCCCAGGAAACAGCTCCTGAGCATCATGAGCATCATGTCAGATGCTCAAATAAAATGCTCATTGGAGCATTTTGGACATTGGATTTTCAGATTTGGGATGCTCAGTTGGTAAGTATAGAGCAAATATTCCAAAATCTGAAAAAAATCCCAAATTCAAAACATTTCTGGTGCCAAGTATTTCAGGTAAGAGATACTCAACCTGTATTATGATTAATGTACTGTCATTACCTAACCCTTCGGGGCCTTGGTTAACCTAGCTAAGGTGAATCATATAAGATCTTTAAGTCTTTTCTAGCTTTATGTTTTTAGAAATGCTGACAATGATGAGGCATAATGATCAAAGCATTTGCCATGTGAAAAAATCTTTCAGGATAATAAATGTCTTTGCTTTTAAAACAGTATATTTTGATCAGCAACCCATAGACTTTCTCACATCCTCTTTTTGTTTTTAGTTAGATCCATTTATATAGGAGATGCTCTCAGGGTCCCATTCATGTTCCCTCAGCCCTTTCTGGAGGTCATTTGCTGTGTCATTTTTAGCAAAGTGAGCAAACTTTGCCTATGTGCAGGGCAAGGAGAGTTGATGCTGTAGGAACAATTTTCAGCCAATGACAGATAGGAGATAATTAAATATGCCAGTGCACCCCTCCAGAAAGACAATTCTCAAGTGTCTCTTGGAAGGTCACCAATGGGATTGAGCCCCAGTTACCTATTGTAGTATCTCATTCATTAAAATACACTTTCTTGATTTTGTTCTCCTCTTTGTCTCATTTCTCCACTCTGCCATGTTAGTCTTCCTGACATCATCTCCCAAATAAAGTACTTGTGTCTAAGACTTTATTCAAGCTCTTCTTTTGGCAGCACCTACACTAAGATAACGTATTCATTTGACTTGGAAACACAACTCAATATGCACACATTTCAAGGATCAAATGGACTGATTTTACTGCACAATGTGGATTTGTACTGTGTCATGTCACTTTCACAAAATTTCTTCTGCTTATACATTTTGTATCTGTTTCAGACAAAATTGATCATTTCTCTGCCTGGAATTTCATTACCGTTTTTTTTTTTTTTTTTTTNTTTTTTTTTTTTTTTTTTTTTATGACATTCTACTGTTCATTTGATCAGTTTGACCAAGCAGTCTGAAGTCATTGAGTTGTTAACTTCATGGTATGATTTACTCTTCCACTGATTGCTATTAAATATGTTCTTCCCCAGGGATAAAGGGAACATGACTGTAACTCAGTCTGACTCCATCTGTCTAATCTAGTTTGAAACTCAATCTCATTCTAATTCAAAAATAACACATCTCTCCTTTGCTTTGTTAAACTTCTACTAGAGGAAGGGGTAGCAACTGGGAGGTAGTGGCAGAGTACATGGTGTGCTCTCGTATTCCCCCTTTCTTTCTCTTAAATACCTTCTTCAAATCATGGGGTCTCACACTAACACATAGCCCTATTCTATGTGGACCAGTGGGGAAGGGAGATTCCAGTAAACTAGCTGGCTGTAGTCAGCTGCCTTGGAGATGCTATTAAAGGAAGGGGAGAGGACTGAGTCTCATTTTGGTTCTGCTGAAAACTACAGCTTCTGCTGTTTGGAGTGGTCTTTGTGTAGATGACATATGTGGTTTTTAGAGTAAGGATCAGCTCCACCTTGACCCTGTCTCCCTGCAGAAAAGCAGCCATATCTCCCTTCAGTTGCTCCCATGGTGCAAGCCTCCAATGCACTCTGCAGATTGAGCATCCTGTTAGTTAAGTGGTTTGACACATTCCCTGCTGTACTCTCCATGTTCCATCAAACATGGTCAAGGAAACTCCATGCCTTCTTCCATGCTCAGTAAAGGCAGAGGAGACCTGTCTAGGGGAGGTTGCCTCCACCTTTGTCTGCCCTGACACACGATATACAATGCTTTTTTTCATCCTGCTAGCTCAGGCTACTTCCTGAGGGTTTTCACCTTCCAATATTTCTGGATGGGAAATTGGCTGTTTATATACAAGTTCCCCCAACCCCTAGCTTCATGAGATCAATGTTAATGTCCCCCTCATCACCCAAAGTGGAAGAGAAAGACCAACATTCTCTCTAGGCTCCCAGGTCTCACTACACCCTCTTGAATCCAGGTCGTTTTTCCATCTTTTGTTAAGAGCTCTCAGATCAGTTTAGCATCTTTGGAACAGGGAAGTGGAATGAGAGTCCTTAGCCCTGAACCTGGCTTTCCTTGAACTTGGCCTTCCAGAATTTAATAATTTTTTTTTCAGTAGTGGTATCTATATCATGATCTTACACTATTTACAACCTCTGGGGATGGGAATATTTGTCTTTAGGTCATGTCATCACGATGTTACATACAACTTTGTACCAACTCATTTGCACTCTCCAGCATCACAAATAAATCATTCTTGGTTACTTAAGAAAATAAATTTGGGAAATGACTGCTTCCAATAACACAATGGGGAAAAGGCAAACATTTATTTTTATTTGCAAATGCAGTTTCTGCCAATAGTTAGTGCTCACAAAACCTTTTAAGCTACAGTAACTTTTGGTAAACTTAATGAATACTTTAAAAAATACCCGATGGTAAGAAAATTACAGAAAAATTTCCATTACACTGTCAAAAATGTTTGGAATCCAAAATCCACTATTTTCTGCAATAGTTTTTAATGTTTGTTCTGGTTTAAAAAGATTTTCTTTTTCTTTTCTTTCTACTTCTACATAGTCCTGGTTAAATTAATATAACCTGTCTCATGAACATTTAGGACTGCCATTTTCTGGATTTAGATTGTTTTTATTCTTACATATTTATATTAATACTTTAATATTTTACATAAAACATTGATTTGCTGTGTTTTATGAAACAAAATCATAGATCCTATTTATGGAGGCATTTCCAGTTTGAAGGAAAACTGAAAATATAATCAGTAGAAGGTCATTTTATGCCTTTGTTCCTTTTTAGCAGTAATAAATAATTAGCAACCTATTAATTACAAAAATTCTTAATTATGCTTAGAGCAACCAGAGTGCTATCACAAATTTAAATTCATATTTGTTACAGTATGTGAGATAGTTAAGAAAAGCCTCTGTTTTTCCAGTTGGGTAACAAATGGCTTTTTTCTGATGCATAATTAATAGAAACTAATGATGACTATGTAGCTCTTCCAGAGTTTTAACGGCAAATCTATATTGGCCTACAGTTAACATGCAAATTCATCCAACAAGCAACACAAAATGTATTGTAGTAGTCATTCATTTTTATCAACATTCAAGAAGATCTAGACAGCAGCACGACTCTCCTATGTCGGAAACACATTATAACATGGGCACAACTGAAGTCAGATCATACCTGGTAAAATACCCTCTTGCTAATTCATCCTCTAGAGTCAGTTCAGACTTCCAGCACAATACATGAACAATAGCGATTAATATTGTGGTACAAAGGTAAATACAGACAAGAGTTTGGTGTGCTAGCATACAGAGTTTTAAAAACGGTGACAAACAAAACCAAACGTCTTGCCCTGTTCTATCCTCTCCCTTTGTGAGCCTGGAATTCTCATGGTCTCACTGAAACATTCTATTTGGGGAACTGAGTCCAACGATCCTAGCACTGAAATTGCTCCCTGGGAGGGAAATGTGGCCACAGGGGAACATTGTATCTATTTGAGAAAGGGCACTGAGGGAAACAGTGGTGTGCAAAAAATGGTTTGCTACCAGAGGCCTTGATGGAAAATGTGATTTTAAAAAATATTTAGCTTTATTCCCAAGGAGTGGTATACTGTGGCTCAAATTTTATTTCATTATTTTTGGTTGGATTAATGAAATGTGCACACTATCACCATCACTCTTAATTCTTCTTCCATCAAATAAGACACTTGTTAGGATAAGAAAGATATTTTACTAAAGCTGACGGTGATTGAGAGTCATTCAGTATTCAAAGTTCCTAAAGAATCATTGGTTCTCTTAAAGGGATAAAAAAGTAGGAAAGGCTTTGTTCAAACTCCTGCTAGTAAACAAGTATTACTTCAACTGATACAATGGCTACATGACATCAAAGTACTATAAATTATCAAAACTATCGTACAGAAAAATTACAAATTCGTTGCAAAATACATTATACTGCTACCATTAAGAAAAAAGTGCTTTTTGTTTTCCTTTCTTTCTTTTTTTTTTTTTTTTTAATTTGAGACAGAGTCTCACTGTGTCACCCAGGCTGGAGCGTAGTGGCATGCGCTGCAACCTCCACCTCCTGGTTTTTTGCCAGAAAAGTATTCTTTCAATATAGAAAATCCTACGTGTTACCCTGCATGTGGCTAGGATATATCATAACGGAGTTTGTACGGAGTCCTTCTGATTTGCTGGACGAAAGGCTGAAAAATATAATAAAGACTTATTAACGCCGTGCTCCAAAAGACCACGCCAGTTCTCAGTGGAGAGATGCCTATTTAAGACACAAGAAGATGCCCTGGTCTGTCAAACCCTGCCGGTCATCACACTGTCCCACCAATTGGCTGGTCTAGAATGCACAGGCCTTTTGCATGTTCTGCGTTTCCTTTTGTTCTCCTGAATTATTCTCATGTCCTCATCTAGCTTTGTCACCTACATGAATCTTCTGCTCAGTGATGTCTGTATTGTCTCATGAGGGGGACGATGCAAGATGGTGGACCTGCTAGTTTTAAGAACGGATGTCCAAGGAGTTCCTGGGCTGTTGCTCTCTGAGAGGGCTCCCTCACCAACATCAGGTCTAGAAATCCCCGGAGCACTGAAGAAACCTGTGAAAACACACAGATACCAATCTGAGGATTAACATAGACACCCAAACCAGTCCCCAGAATGTTTTCCCCATTCAATCTATCAACAACTTCAAACTCCAGAAAGATGTTAGGAAAGCAAAAGCAGGTCTTGCCTTTGTTAACATTTCATGTTTCCTTCCCTTTTTCAAGTTTGAAATAATAGGTGTAAATGACAGCTCAACTAAGAATGAATACTTACTAAATAAAATAACAGTGGCAATCACAGTGATAAAAGCAGCTATTACAAAGGTTTTACTATGTGCAGGTACTGGTCACACATGCTTGATGAAGCATAGTAAGTATAAAAAGGGAACTGTTTTATTTTTCTAGTAACTGCAGCCACACAGGCTCTGTGGAACCCTTTTCTTTAAGAGAAACAAAATTCTATAAGGATGTCTGACACATCTCAATTTTTTTTTCTTTGAAGGTCTTGTAATTTACTTTTCCAAGGTATATCTTACATTATGCATATATTTAGAGATGAGTCTCACTATGTTGCCCAGGTTCAAACTCCTTTGCTCAAGTGATACTCCCATCTCAGCCTCCTGAGTAGCTCGGAGTACAAGCACGTGCCACCATGCCCAGCTTCCACTGCACAAATACTAAGCGTATGGTGCAATAGATTTTTACATACATTTACCCCTATTTACTTTCCACTCCTATCAAGGTATAGAAATTTTCTACCACTCTAGGAAGCTGCTTTTAGGTCCCCTTCCTGCCAGCCCCATCCCCCAGCAAAAGGCCACCACTATCTTAATTTCTAATAGCATAAATTAGTTTTGCTTACTTTTGTAATTTATCGAAATGGAGTCATATATTGTGATTTCGTCTCCATCTGGCTTCTTTCACTCAGCACTGTATCTGTGAGATTCATCCCCGATGTGCGGCAAAAGTTTTATCTTTTAAATTACCGTGTAATGTTCATTGTCCAATTATACCAGACATCATTTATCCATTTGGAAAACAACCGTGGGCTGGTTTCCAGTTTTTTAAAACCATTAGGATTAAGGCTGTTCTTGTAAACGGTTTTGAAGAACACTGGCACTTGGTGGATGTGAGACTATTTTCACATAGTACATTTTTAGTCACTTTTCATTATTTAAACTTAGTCCAGTCCAATATCATTTCAATCTCTCTCTGTTTTGATTTTGTTTTTGCAGGTCTACGCAACCTATATGAGTGATTCTACTAGGGCTCTTCACTAAGATTTCGGGGTAAGGAAGGAAGAGATATTACCATCACAAACAATTCTCCTCCAAAAGGCATCTCACACTCTTTTTTATTGTCATGAAATAGATGAGAGGAGAGGTGTGTATGGGGACAGTGTTTATAGTAGTGGCCCTGCAGAAATGGTCTTCTGAGCAGTCCTGTGGAAATCTGGCAGCTTCCACAGTGGTGATTCTTGGATGGAGCATTATTATTTTCTGAGCTTGTCCTAACTGGCAATCCTTAGAAAACAGGAAAGACCCCACTCGGTCTCTTGGATGCATTCTATTAACCATGACCTTCATTGCTCTGTACAGTCCAGCCCCTGCCCATCTCTTTGACAAGGCCTACCTTCTTCCCCTTGCTCACCTTACTCCAGCCATATAAGCCTTCTTTCTTGGCTTAAGACCTTTCCAACTTAATGCTCCCTCTGCCTGGGACACTTTTCTCCAAGATCTTTGCATGGCTTGTATCTTCTTCCTATTCAGGTCCCAGCTCAGCTGATCCCTCCCTAGAAAGGGCCTCCTTCGCTCTTCAGCCTAAACCAGTCATATGGTTTGGCTCTGTGTCCCCACCTCATCTCAAATTATAATCCCCGCATGTCAAGGGAGGGACATGGTGGAAGGTAATTGGGTCATGGGGGTAGTTTCTATCATGCTGTTCTCCAGATAGTGAGGGGATTCTCAGGAGAGCTGATAGTTGTATAAGTATATGGCATTTCCCCTGTGCTCTCTCTCACCTGCCACCATGTAAGACACGACACGCTTCCCCTTTGCCTTCTGCCATGATTGTAAGTGTGATTTTAAGGCATCCCCAGTCTTGTGGAACTGTGAGTCAATTAAATCTCTTTTATTTGTAAATTATCCAGTCTTGACTATTTCTTCACAGCAGTGTAAAAACAGACTCATACAACCAGCTTTCAATCCCCTCTCCTGTGCACTCCATCACATCATAGCATGGTTTTTTTCATAGTAGGCACCATGTTTTATTCATTTGTTTATGGTTTATTATCTGTTTCCCCAACCAAAAAGCAAGCTCTATAAGAGTCAGAAAATCTGGAGTCATGCATGGTGATAACCCCAGCTATTAGACATCCCCGGCATGTAACAGCTGCTCAGTGAATGGGTATGGCACAGAGCACCTGATTTACTCTTCTAATCAAGCCCTTGGGATAGAAGCCAATTGTAACCCATTTTATAGATGAAGAACTTTGGTGTAGAAAAGAGTGAGTTACTCGCCCCGTAAAAGAATGGAAGAAAAGAGTTTCAAGCCTAAGTGACTATTTCCAAAGTCCATGCCCATAAACAAGGATCTCCCTGCTTCATGTGATAAGCCAGTCTTAAAAATCCAAAAACTGTTCTGAACTTCAGCAACAGCTGCTGCTTCTCACCTTGTGTAGGTCCTTCACTCTTGGAGGTAAACTGTCCCTGATCCTCCGCATCGCCTGGAGGGGGGGCTCATTGAAGTAAGGGGGCTCGCCATCGATCATTTCAATCACCATGATCCCGAGGGACCAGATGTCCACCTGTTAGGCACACCTCACTGGTTAGATCAGGCAAGGAGAACATTCTGAAATGTCAAGTGTGTCCACAGAACCCAAGAGATCAATACTCATTCATAAATGAATATGGTATTTGTAACCCGTCAACATTTACAATACAGATTTATAGGCTAAACTGCTGGGTTACTGAGTTTTTGCTAACAATCTTTGCTTTTTATGGACAAATTCAACGAAAGTTCTACCCATCAGAAATAAATGAATATCTTAACATTCTAACCTTTAGCAGTTTAATTTTTACTCTGTTAACTTTAGTGGTAAATTGTCTATCAGGGTAGATGAGAAAATCATCCAGTTTAATGTTATAAAAATAGAGAATAAAATTATATTTAAACTATAAGCAAATAAGGAAGTTTTGATATATTTGTAACAAACTGCAAAGAGCTACCTTGCAGCACGCAGAATATATTCTGATTCCTTTATTAACTTGCTTTTAAAAATAGTTCTTTTCTCCCCTACTTTGGAATTTCCTCCCCCTACCTTTTATTATCATTTCAAAACAGCCTGCACAAAACCTTGCTTTACAAAAGCATTTTCAGGGATTGGAGAAAAGGAAAGGAGGAGATGACAAGCAATTCTTTCTGAGTAAAGAATGAGAAGTCAGGACAATGAGGAGCCATCACTGTGCTATAAATTCCCAGTCCCGCTCACTTCCCCTTTACGGCCTCAGTATAGCTCTTATCTGTTCAATGTATTGCTGTTATTATCCCTTGGAGTGACCTTCACCGAGAATTTATCTCTCACGACTACAGTGAGAAAAACAAGTCGAGAACTCATCCAAGGTCAAGCAAACAAGAGAAAGAGACAGATTCTGCCTTAACTTATGCCAATGTCATTAGCTCACTGCCATGTCTTCTCATGCTCCTCTTCTCCCAGAATCACCATCTGCCCCATCATGTGTGGAAACACCATGCCTAGCCAAAACATACCCCTTGGCTTCCACCTGTATGCAGCCTTATGTGCCTCTGAGTTTCCACCCATACTATTACTTCCTAAGAAGGCCCTTCCACTACTCCTTCTGGCCCTGTATTTTCACATTTCCAAGCCCTACCCCTTAAATGATTACGAGTGATTGTTTTCATTCCAGTGGAAACAGAAATTGTGCCATGTTTTTGACTATGATATAATATTCACATATAATTTTTTTTTCCTTTGAGAAAACACTGTGCAGGTCCTTCATTGTTGTAAACTGTGTTGAAAATGGTTGCTCATTTAAATATCACCTCTATTTTGTGGCACTTTCTTTGATCCTCTTTCCTTCTTCTGGATCCTCATGCCTGCTCATCTTCAGCCACTTTGCAAGTTGCATTGCCTTGCTTTGTGTGTCCCTGCCACTGAGAGTGGGATCAGAGTTGAAGTGACTCTCCCACAATGTTCACTGTAGGACTGCAATAAACAGCTCTTGGATAAATACTGCAATGATCGGCCCAGGAGTGGCCAGGCTCCCTCCTGCCACAGCCTACTTACTCTGTGTCTCATCTAGTGAGTGGGGATCAAAGATGGAGTCAAAAGTCACTGCTTCCATCTTCTGTGGTCACCAACTATCTCAGAACCAATTTGTCCTGAGCCTGCCCCCCGGTCCTGCCACTTCTATGACTGTGACCCCCTTACCTCTGTCCCATAAGGTAGCCTAGAAATCACCTCAGGGGCCATCCAGTAGGGAGTGCCAACCAACGATTTCCTCTTCGGCACCTCTTTGGAAACTTGAGCACAGAAACCAAAATCAGATAACTTTATCTGAAAAGAAAAGAAATGCAACAAACTAGCAATTTTAAAACAATGTCTGCTAGACATGAAAATACAAACATGGAGAGTTTCAAATTGATAACAAAACAGTCTCATCAACAAGCCTTGGACATATCAGAGGAGGGACTGTCAGACCCTTTTATTGGAAAGGCATGGTCCATTTTAATGGTGACACTTCCCCCAGGCCCATCAGGATCGACTTCCAAATATCTAATCTCCTGCTGCTTACATTACTTCTATAAAATGATGAAACAACAACAAAAAATCTTTACATATTAAATACACCCAAAACAAAAAAATGGTTACATCCCAAGCCCACAAGTTTAATTTAATGTAACAGATGATGTTTTCATATACGCAAATTACTATTCTCAATGCGAATTTTGAACAAACTGATGTAATTTGGGTTCTTTTGAGTTGAGCACATTTAGATTTCTACGTACCATGAATTCAAAGAACCATCTCTTTTCTATACTTGAAACATTGCAAGACCTTTGTTTCTCCAGGATGTGGAAATGTCACTTTTAGTACCTGATCCCCTACCCTTTTTGGTTTGTTCTTTTGTCCATGACAATTGAAGCTGCCAACGTGAACATCAGTGCAAGTGGAAACAGGCATAGAATTTGGGTGTCAGCACTTGGTTGTTAGGGGTTTAAGGTGGTTATCCTAAGGACTCAGGGCCATAGCATGAGAAAAGAAGACCATATATGAAATACTGGGCACCTGGGGCAGATGAAATTGAAGGATTACTGGAGACTGAAGAGAAAGATATTAAGAAATCAGCAAAACAATGGAGAATAAATTGGGAAAGCCAAGATGGGGACAGCGGCAGCTGGGACCCAACAGGGAGATGAAACCAGGTGAGAATTGAGAGCCGCTGTTGCGCTTGGCAATGAGGGCGCCCCTACTAGTCTGTAGTTTCAGGCTGAGTCGATGGTGGAATCCCGAGAGTAGTCAGGTAGATCTCACTCAGACTGCTTTTCAAGAAATGAGATGTATTTTAATACATATAGAAGAAACCCAGCAGTTACAAATGTGGTGAATATGATAATGATGACAATGATAATTATTGCCATTCTCTTTAGCGGGTTGAATGTCTCCCAGAATTCACATCCATCCAAACCACAGCACGTGATCTTATTTGGAAAAGAGTCTTTGCAGATATAACTAGTGAAGGTGAGGTCATACTGGATTGGGGACAGGCCCTAAATCCCATGACTGAAAATAGGAGAGGACACAGACACACAGAGAAGAAGACCATGTGAAGACAAAGCAGAGACTGGAGGGATGAGTGCACAAGCCAACCAACACCAAGGATTGCCACAACCACCAGAAACCAGGAGAAAGGTACATAAAGCTTCTCCCTCAGAGCTTCCAGACGAATCAACACTGCTAATGCCTTGATTTTGGACCTCTGGACTCTTGAACTGTGAGAATGCATTTCATGCAGAGGGAAGAAAATGCCACTTAATTGGTAGCAATTTGTTATAGCAGTCCTAGAAAATGAATACACTCACTGAGCTCTTACTACCTACCAGGTAACACTATAAACACTTTACATGTATTATCCCATTTGACTGCTCACAAGAAACTAACGAGCTAGCTCAATTTTACGGAGAAGTAAGCCAAAGGATAGAAGTGGTTAGGCCACTTTGCCAAGGATACAGAACTAGTAAGTGGAAGAGCCAAGATTCAGGAATTTAACCACCACTCTGTATTGAAGAACAAAGTTACAGGCTGAAAGAAGGGAGTTATTGGAGTGGTAGATGTTGAAGAAAGAAGAGAGGGTGAGGGTAACTGATGATAGGGATTTTAAAACATCCCTTCAGGAAGGTGGGGTGGGGTCCAGGGTCTTGCTACTTAAAGCATCACCTTCATCAATAGCAGCAGCAGCAGCGTTACCTGGGAGCTTGTTAGACTTGCAGAACCTCAGGCCCCACCCAGACCTACTGAAGTTACAGTTCCACTTTAAAAAGATCCCCAGGCCACTGGTGTACACATTATAGCTTGAATCATAGGAGACCACAGTTCAGCCAAGAAACAGAAGAGGAAGGAGGTCACATAAACAAGTAAGGATGAAGGGGCATTTATTTGCACAGTCTCATCTCTTTATCATTTTGACAAAAACTTTAACATTTTCACCATGCCCTGTCTTCCTTCTGCTAACCTAAACACTCTGCAGTCCATCTGAATGGCTTTTGAAGTCCTCCATAATCTGGTGCCTTTTCACATAGCCAACCTCATTCCTCATGGCTTTCTGCACACACTGAAACCATTCCTAGGGACCAGGGGTGTTCCTGGAATGTAGGATTTCCAGGGCTAAAACCCAGAAAGTTCTGGGCAAATCAGAAACAGGTCATCTTACAATGTATTCCCAACTCTGAGTTTTTGTTGATGGCTTTTCTTGCATATTCAATTCTTAGGCATACATCAAGGGCTTTATCAAATCTAACATTCTCCAGAATTCTTCTCAGAAGGCCACGTTGATCTCTCTCTTTTCCAAATTCAGAAAATTTGGCAAGCACTCAATCCTGAACTGTTTTCTGGTGCTGATTTTCTGCCTCTATTTAGAGATGACATTCCTCGGGGGCAACAGCTCTGCTTTCTGATTGCAGAGACTTACTGTGTTCCTTAAGTGCTGGGCAAACAGTACAAACTCAGATAACACATGCAACTAGATTTATTTTATATTGACATACATACATAGTTCATCAGGTGACAGAAGACACATTGAAGCTATTTCTGAAAACATCAAAAACATACTGAAGATAGCTGTTTCTAGAATCAAAGTTGGAACACAGATGAAATGAAAGTAATATTTTGGAAATTATTAATGTGGTTTTTTTTCTTTTTTCATTTCCTTGTTCATGATATTCTCACTAATTGGCTTAAGGCCAGTGATTTGGGCAACAGTGGTATGATTTGAACTGGAAGGGTTACATTATTCCCAGTGAAATGCTAGAGAAAGCTGGTTTAGTAGAGACGTGATCTTCTCAATTGCTTATCAAGAATCAACCCCAGAGGACTCAGATCACAGAATTTCCCATGTAGAATGAAGAAGAGGGCCTTGTAGCCATGATAGCTCGTCCATAATCCTTGGTGCCCTATTGTAAGAGGACACGAAAATGCACAGAAGTAAAAATCTTACAGTCCACCCCTTGTAGTCTGGGATTATTTGCAAAAAGGGAGAAAAAGTAGTGATGTTGACTATATCGGGTCCCAACCTCCTTATGATGTATCACTTTTCTTTACTCCAAGCAGATGGTTGTGGGCTTCAGAAATATCTATGTTGCATATATCCCCATTCAAATAAGGGAGAGGAGAAGCTCCACAAGCATATGTTCAGAGGTAATATTAAAAATATTTGATAACCAGATTAATGTAGGCCAATTTGAACCTAGATATAAAGTCAAGAAAAGTCCCAGAGTTACCCTGGGAAATGAGGTGAGGAGGGTCTTGGGAAGGGGCTGGAGTGATGAGGGATACCCTTAAGGACTTAAAGCAGTGGCTGTCAACCAACTAGCATGAAAATCTTGCAATATTTTAAAAAAACAGTTGTAGACACACTAATGAAACTGACTGAACAATAGCCTTGGCCATACCCAGTGTGAAAGGAAAAGAAAAACTCAGGACCCCAATTCACTCTTCCAAGAGGAAAAATTAAGCTAAAAGCTGAGTCCTGTAAGAAGCTGCCTTCTGTTTTGTTCCTAAGCAGACAGCTACAGGTCATAGGTATGACCACAGGTAGCAACTCTATATTCACATTATATTCTGTAAAGTGCCCATTTACTGAGCATGAGACAAATACATAATTGACAGTTCTCCTACCTGCTCCTTCTCTCTTGCGACAAGTAGATGACCATACGCTCCCTCTTTCCCCTCCAGCCCACTTTTCCCCTTTCCTTCAAATTCATCTTTGGGGAAAGGCACAGGCCACAGACAGTTTCTATGAAGCCATGCTTTCTTTTTCTTCTGGACCTATCCTTAACTTTGGCAAAATAAACTTCTAAATTAATTGACGCCTACCTCAGATACTTTTTCATTTTACAGCAGCTAGTAAAACATATTCCACCGAGACATGGCACAATAGTGTGGGTGGAAGTGAGCTCATGGCAATGCTACTGGCTCCCATGGCCTGTGTGGGATGTGCAGGGATGCAGAAGTTCCTCCAAATTTCAGTGAGGTAATGGGGAAGGGCCTGGCTCAAGCCTGTGGTTGGGACAAGGAGGCAGCCTGCAGGGCAGCTTTCAACCCATGAGTGAAGAGGCTGCAGCTGTGAAGTACAGCAGATGTGCGCCCCCGGACAGCCCAGCCACCGAGAGGACCAGTCAATCCACAGTCAATCCTGCTACCTGCTCGCCAGTCCACGTAGCAGGAGAGTCCAATGACACCAAGACAGGGAGGAGAGAGGAACACAAAGATGCTTCCTATCTCCTTCAACCTGAGATCCCACGGGCAATGCTTGTCTCTCCTTCTCCCATACTCCAGCCTGGGAATGAGTGAGGGTTGGGGGGGAGGGAGTAGGTGGTGGTTAAATTTGAAAGACTGAGTTTATAAAGGTATCATTTATACCTCATAATAATGTAGTCAAACTTTGATAGGCAATGTTCAAATTATTCAAGCCAACTAAAATTAATGAATTGAATTAAAATAGAGATTTAAAAAAATAATCAAGCTAGTAGAATGTTGTGAAGAAGTCTGGGTTAGTTTTAGGAAACATGGAAAGTATAATTGTGGTGTGGGATATGTATGTGTGTGTGTATGTTTATTTCCAAAACTAGGGTGTGAGTAAATTGGCAACCCCAATACACAGAGAGCAGAGGAGGAGCAAACATTCCAATACATTTTGTTTGCCTGTAAACTTAAGAAACCCAAATGATTGAGGAGGTGAATGTATCAGCATTTTGGTATTGGCAGTTTTAAATTTCAATATCTCTAGTGCGGTTTCTCTTTGCTGACATGAAAAATACCCAAACCCTTCAAAATATGGC